TGCCGGGGTCAGGCGACCCCAGCCGCATGCTTGTCTAGTCTCCTCTTGAAGACCCCCAGGGTAGGGAGAGCACCACTTCCCCGGGAAGCCCGTTCTAGATTCTGGCAACCCTGACTGTGAAGAAGTCCTTTCTAATGCATCTCAAGCAGGTCCAAGGAGGTGATCCTCCCCCTCTATGCGACACTGGTCAGGCCGCAGCTGGAGTACTGCGTCCAGTTCTGGGCGCCGCACTTCAGGAGAGATTTGGACAGCATGGAGAGGGTCCAGAGGAGGCCACTCACATGGTCAGGGGGCAGCAGGGCAGGCCCTACGAGGAGAGGCTACGGGACCTGGACCTGTTCAGCCTCCGCAAGAGAAGGCTGAGGGGGGACCTGGTGACCATTTACAAACCAGTCAGGAGGGACCAGCAGGCATTGAGGGAGTCCCTGTTCCCCCGAGCACTAGCAGGAGTGACTAGAAATACCGGTCACAAGCTGGCAGAGGGTAGATTCAGACTAGGCATCAGGAGGCGCTGCTTCACTGTCAGGGCGGCTAGGATCTGGAGCCAACTTCCAAGAGAAGTGGTGCGCACTCCTACCCTGGGGGGTCTTTAAAAAAAGGCTGGACAAACATCTCGCCGGGGTCGTTTGACTCTTTCCTGCCCAGGGCAGGGGGTTGGACTAGATGATCTCCTCAGGTCCCTTCTGACCCGACCAACTATGAAACTATGAAACTGAAACTAATGTCCAACCTAAATCTGCTCTCCGTCAGTTTGTGGCCATTGTTTCTAGTTACTCCAGGGGGTGCCCTAATAAACAGAGCATCTCCTACTCCCTGTTGCCCTCCCCTGATGAATTTATAGGAGCCACACGATCACCTCCAGCTTTCTCTTGCGGAGGCTGAAGAGATCCAGGTCCCTCAGTCTCTCCTTCAGGTCCCTCAGTCTCTCCTCGTAGGGCCTTGCATGCAGGCCTCTGGCCATACAAGTGGCCTCCTCTGAACCCTCTCGAGATTCTCTGCATCCCTCCCAAAGTGCAGCGCCCAAAACTGGACGCAGTACTCCAACTGCGGCCTGACCAGTGCCACATCGCGGGAAAGCATCGCCTCCCTGGACCTGTTCGTGATGCATCTGCTACTGCATGATAAAGTGCGGTTAGCCTTGTTAATCACTTCATCACATTGATGACTCACGTTCATCGTGGAGTCCAGCTATGACTCCAAGATCCCTTTCTGCTGCTGTGCTGCTGAGGAGGTCATCCCCCAACCTGTAAGTGTGCTGGTGATTCCTTCTCCCTAGGTGCAGCACTTTGCACTTGCCTTTCTTGAACTGCATCCTAGTCTGTTCTGCCCACCTTTTCAACCTGTTCTTGAAGGTACTTGACCCACTGCAAGAACTTGGGGTGCTTCCCTCAGTCTGAAGCACAAATAGTGGTCTCCGTCAGTCAGCCAAACCACAGCCACCCCAAGGCATAATCTAGACTGGGGTGGGCAACATGTGGCCCAGGGGCTGAATGTGGCCCACCAGGCTATTCTATCCAGCCCACGGGGCCCCTAAAAAATTTAGAAAATTAATATTTATCTGCCCCTGGCTGCCTATCATGCAGCCCTGGATGGCTTGCCAAAACTCAGTAAGCAGCCCCCTGCCCAAAATACTTGCCTGTCCCTGGTTTAGACCCTTTCCCAATAAGTCTCCCACACTAAGTACAAAGGAGAACTTTACTGGTTACAAGGAGTAGGTTTGGGATAGGATGCAGGGTAGAGCAATATCAGAGAAATACTTTAGAGCAAGCAGTGCCATGGTAGCTTTTGATCATGCATCTGAGTTACTGCAAGCTATATATCTAGTTGGATCTCAGGTAGCTTACTCACAAGTATCATCCACAGGCAGGTGGAGATTCCCTCTGGAGGCAAACAGTTCATTGATCATGAGTTTCAAGAGAGAAAGCAAGTTTCAGATGGTCCAGCTTCTCTCTGTGAGTTTTCATCATGACTACTGTCCCTCCTCCTGGGCAGTCCTTCACTTATATAGCCTTTATGATCTCATTTACCTGGTCCAGTGAAGGCCAGCAACTGTTGGCTGCCAGCTAACCAATTTGAAATGCATCACTGGTTGCCGGGTAGACTGGCAGAGTCTTTAGCCCCCTCCCAGTCATGATGCCATTGCTTAGAACAACAGGGAGCTTAAGCCCCCACCCAGGTGTGTGAGGCCAGTCACGTAGGCAGAGGGAGCAGGTTTCCTCCTCCCTCAGGAATGTATCCAGCTCAGGTTACTACTCAGGGTTACCTGAAGCCGACGGGGCCAGAGGAGCCTGCCCTCTGCAGTGACCATGGGAACCAAACTGTCAGACAGAAGAGTCTGGGGAGAGACAGAGATGGTATTCTGCCACACTTAGCCCCTGGGTTACCTTGTACTTGCAGATCCCCCACCAGGTCATCCCCTGTAGCTAACACCAAGTCCAGCAAGGTGTTCCCTCTGGTGGGATCATATCCCTCCTGCGTTGTGTGGAGGTCCTGTATGCAGGTTAAGAACCAGTGTGACCGGTTAGATTTGGCTGACTGCTCCTTCCAGCAGATGTCTGGGTAGTTTAGGTCACCCATGACAATCATATCCCTTGACCATACGGTCTCTGAGAGCTGTCTCCAATTCCAGGTCTAGCTCATCCTCCTAGTGTGGTGGTCTATACTAGCCCCCACTACCAAGTCCCTTTCCCCCCGACCCCCTTGTATCCTGACCCACAGTACTTTGGTTTGGCCCTCCTCTGAGCCCATCTTGGTTATAGAGGATGTATATTGTTCCTTAACATAGAGAGCAACACCTCCTTCCCTTTTTCCCCACCCTATCCCATCTGTACAACCTAGAACCATCAATGCCTACTGCCCAATCATGAGTAGGGTCCCACCAGGTTTCAGTTAGTCCAACCAGGTCCAAGTTGTTGCTTGCAAGCAGGAGTGCAAGTTCCTCCTGCTTGCCCCCATGCTCCTAGCATTGGTGTAGAGACATTTAAGTCCCCCGATGGGTGCCCTTGGTACCCCCTGTCCTGATGTCTATCAGGCCCCTTAGTGCTTACCTGGGCTGATCCAGTGCATTGCTCATGGCTCGCTGATCCTAGGTTCTCCTTATCCTGTGCTTCCCCGTCCCCTGACAAACCCAGTTTAAAGCCATTCAGAGGAGATCAACCAACCTGTAAGAGAATAGACTCTTACCTTTAAAATAGAGAGGAAGACCATCTCGTCCCAGAATGCCTCTCTTGTGGACGTGTAGATCGTGGTTGTAGAAGCCAAAACCCGCGTGATGGCACCAACTCCGGAGCTGCAGGTTGACTGCCCTGATGCAGGTGCCCGGATGCTGCTGGCAACCGCTGACCAGAAGGATGGACGAGAATACCACTTGTGCCCCTGACTTCCTAAGCCTGGTCCCCAGAGCCCTGTAGTCACTCATGACGTGGTCCACACTACTCCTGGCCTCATCATTCGTGCCCACGTGGACAAGGACCATGGGATAGTTGTCAGAGGGCCAGATGAGGTCAGGAATCCTTGTCATGACATCCTGGATCCTGGCTCCGGGTAGGCAGCAAACCCCCCGTGCCGTGGGATCCGGTCGACAGATAGGCCCCTCCGTGCCTCTCAGGAGGGAGTCGTCCACCACGATGACCCGGTGTCTCTTCCTTCAGGTGCTCGGTTGTTGCTCAGCCTGCCTGGTGTTCAGCTGTGTCCCCTCAGCCTTGTTCTCTGTGAACAGAGCCCCCGAGCTGTCCCCGTGCTGCCCCCCACCCCACCCCTGGGGTCGGCTCTGCCCCTGCCCAGCCTGGCAGCCCTCGGGCACCTGCTCCCTGGGCTGTGACCGTGACCATGACCATGACCATGACCATGACCAGGGCCTGGATCTGTGTGTTTCAGGGTCTCACACGCTCCAGTTCATGTACGGCTGTGAGCTCCACGAAGACAAGAGCACCGGAGGCTACATGCGGTTTGGCTATGATGGAGGAGACTTCGTCAGCTATGACCTGGGAACGCGCACCTGGGTAGCAGAAATAACACAGGCCCGGGTCACCCAGTGCAGGTGGAATGAGGATAAGGCCCTTCTTCAAGATGCAAGATCCTACCTGGAGGAGACCTGCATCGTGTGGCTGCGGCAGTTCCTGCAGCACGGGGAGGCAGCGCTGCAGAGCAGTGAGTCCCGGTGTCGCGGCCCAAGGCAGCACTGACCGGGGAGCGCCCGCCCCATCCCCCTGTGTCCAGGGTGGCAAGCGCTGCGTCTTGCTCCAGCCACCGGGCGAGACCCCAGCGCTGCTGTGGGACACGGTGCCCCTGTCCCTGCCCTGGTCAGGCCTCCCAGCTGGGCAGAGCCCACAGGGTGTCCGCACCCTGGCCGCGAGTCTGAGAACCAGAAATCAGCTGTATGGGACCCCGTTCCTGCAGCCCCGAGCCCAGCACAGCTGTGTCTCCTGTCCCCTGTGCTCCCACCCCGACGCCATCGGCTCCTGCCTGAAATGGGCGCTGGAGCCTGTTTGTGTGGCCAGTGCAGGGCCCAGCCCAGCCTCCTGGCAGGGGTGCTGAGGGTCCCGCAGGGGCGGTCGCTCTAACGGGTATCACCTCCCTTCCAGAGCGTCCCATGGCACAGGTGAGCGACAGGCCATCCCGGGATGGACGCACCACCCTGGCCTGCCGGGTCCACAGCTTCTACCCCAAGAACATCTCCGTCGTCTGGCTGAGGAATGGGGAGGCGCAGCCCCAGGAGACGAGCTGCTCGGGGGTCCTTCCCAGCGGAGATGGGACCTTCCAGACCTGGGCCACCATCGAGATCAACCCGAGCAGCGACCACAACTACACCTGCAGCGTGGAGCACGAAAGCCTGGGTGCAGCCCTGAGAGTGGCCTGGGACAAGGGCAGGACGGGCGAGTGACCCCCGCGCACACGGGAGGGAGAAGAAACGTGGTGGTCGGGGAGCGAGGGGCTGTCTGACCCTGCTGAGCCGGGAAGGAACTGGGGGGCTGGCGGATGCAGGGGGCACCGATGGGGAGGGGGCACTGGGCCTGTGCAGCGTTGGGGGCAGGTTTGGGAGTTCCCCGCACTCACTGGTATCCTCCCTCTTCCAGAGTCCACCCGGATGCTGGCTGTGGGTGTTGTTATCGGTGTTGTCCTGCCAGTCGTTGCTGTGATGGGCGCAGCTGGTTACTTCCGCAGTAAGTGCTGGGCGAAGCCCTTGGGGCCAGGCCATGCCCAGGCTTTGGGACGGGGGAGCAGGGAGGGCTCATCACCGCCGTGCCTGGGACCTGGGGGGACGGGGGATCCTCCAGCTGCTCTGGGCTCCCAGGTCCACGCGACCCTGGGGCAGCAGCAAACAGACCCCAGCCCCAGCACTGCGAGGCTGCCTTGCTGGGGCCCTAAGGGCTGCTCTTGGCTCCACATGAACCATGCCCCACAGCCCCATCCCCTCCCTGGGGGGGTGTCCGGGCCCCACGTCCTGGTCTGAGTCCCCGGCTCCGTGCTGCGCAGGCAGCTCCTTTATGGGCTGTGGCCCCAGGTCAAAGCCGTCCCCAGGTGTGGAAGCAGCTGCAGTCGCTGATCTCTGCCTTCTCTCTGCAGGGAGACGGGGAGTGGGACACAGAGCGGTACTGCACAGAGCAGTGCCCAGTGAGTGCAAAGCCCCCTCCTCTCTCCCCCTCCCCGGGGCCGTGCGGCTCTGTGCAGAGCACCCCTGGGCAGGCGGCGTCACCCAGCCCCGCGCTGCCTCCCCGCACTGGACACGCTAGTCCAGCTGCAGCCTCCAGGCCTTGGATCACGTGACGGGCTCATGTCTGGGGAGTCACAAGGGCGCCCGTCACCCTGGTGTCTGCGGTTCTTGGCGGCAGGGGCTGGTGTGGGGCATGGGGGGCATTGGGCCGGGGGAACTGGTCCGTGCGCTCGGGGAGCTCTGACCCGTCTTCCTTCTCTCTCAGCCCATGAAGCCTTGCAGAGCCAAGCCCCAGAGAGAGAAACCCAGGAGAGAGAAGCCTTGGAGAGCTGCGGTGAGTGCTGGGGCAGGGCCGTTTCCTGGGCTGGGGTCAGGTCTCGCCTCCCTCCTGTGGAGATGGCAGCTCCGGGGCTCCTGGCAGTGCCATCCCCTTGGTGCGAGCCGTGGGGGAGCGGCAGGGGTTCAGCCCAGGGGTGCAGGTCCTTGGCCAGCCCCTGGCAGCCAGCACCTGGTCCCCATGGCTGCAGGGCAGGGTCGGTGCCCAGGGCTCCTGACCTCACTGCCAGCAGCTCCCATCTCCTTGGCTGTCCTGTGCCGTGGGCGTCGAGGGGGCCGAGTGCCAGGAGAGCTGCGTGGTTGGGTCTGCGCCAGCCCCTGTGCTCCTG